GTCGAGCACTTATTGGGGGGAAATCAAAGGTCACAATATTTCGTAAATACGAACAATGCTAAATATACACGCCTCTCAGCACAAGTGATAAAATGGAGCGCTACGTAAGCATCGGAGAGAGAAGACATTTCCGTGTGTCACCGGATTTCGTACAAATTACTACAACAATACTTTATTACACTACAATACTTTATAAATCGTCCTCTTTCAATCTTCGTCGTATTATATGTCACTACAATCATAGATATTTTCCCAGGCTCCAGTTTTAACAATGCCCATTACTTTTGAAATAGAGGAAGACAGCAAAGTAGATGGGAAGATGACATCAAAAAAGTGGCAGGAACGACTTGGATGAGAAAAACGCAGGATAGATTATTATGGAGAACCCTTGGGGAGGCCTATGCTGTACAGCAAGGCGATCAAGAAACCGGTGTCGAATACTAAAACTAGATAATAAGTGTATTAAAAATGTAACTTAAATTAGATTGTTAATAAAGGCTTATATTATATTATTATATTATATTATTACTTTTGAATATTACTCAGAATTCTGACAAGAGTTTTCCTCAAACGAGTATAATTATGTGAATATTATTTGTTATATGGCACTACCATACTCCTGGGTATCATAAAAGTGGACTAAGAAATTCAACGGAGATAAGAGAGCAGCAATATTTAAGTACTATACCAACGTAATGTGATCGCAAACCGGCATTTACCAAAAATTACCACTATCCAGATTGTTCTGGCTGGAGCCACTCTTGAGTTACGGTTAGAAGGATGGGATATCCGTTACGCAATACAATTAAAACTTAGGCCCCATATCTCAAAGGGGATGGCGGCATTTACGTTGTGACAACTTTAAAAAAGTCGTCGTGGCCTAAAGGGTAAGACGTCAGGTGCATTCGTATCGAGCAATGCACCGGTGTTCGAATCCCGCAGGCGGGTTCCAAAAATACGTACTTCACAAATGTTCACGATTGACTTCCACGCTGAAGGAATAACATCGTATAATAAAAATCAAACCCGCATAATTATAATTTGCGTAATCACTGGTGGTAGGACCTCTTGTGAGTCCGCTCGGGTACCAACACCCCGCCTATTTCTGCCGTGAAGAGTACTGCGTTTCGGTTTGAAGGGTAAGGCAGCCGTTGTAACTATATTGAGATCTTAGAACTTATCTCAAGGTGGGTGGCGCATTTACGTTGTAAATGTCTATGGGCTCCAGTAACCACTTAACACCAGGTGGGCTGTGAGCTCGTCCAACCATCTAAGCAATAAATAAAAAAAACCTATGTGTTACAGCCGCAGCAGGCAGCTTCAATCAATTTTGGGTACACAAACCAAGTTGATGCATCTTCTTACAAAACAAGTACTAAAAGCTTAGTATTTCGATTGCTAGGTAAAAAAATACTACGAAGAGATTGGTAATAGAAAAATTGCAGCAACAACTGAAGTAAATCACTGTCGCATATCAATCAGTCTAATTAATGTAGCTGTAGAGAATTTTGTCTTTCAAATCCTCTACCCTCAAAGTACATAATATAATTTGAGTGTGTGACATTAACATAATCATACAAATTACGCACGATAAAGCACCATGGCTTGTATGAAGCCCAAAGTTCAGGACAGAACTAATCAGTCCGTTGACCTTTTATACATACTTCATGTACTTGTTATAAACATCTTTGAATGTCAATACGGAGAGATATACTGCAACTAGTTATAATATTACGATAAGGTTAACGTTAACTTGCGTAACTATGTCGTCTTGATTGAATTTGAGACTTTCATATATATTATCTCATTTCGAATATAGTTAATAAACAAAATCTTCGTCTTCACGTCAGATTTGATCTGACTAATTGAAGATGAAGATTTTTTGTTTGTTTTGCCTAAATTGAAGATGTCTTGATACAGACTAGACAATAAGATGGATAAACATAATAATGAACGTTTTTTTTTTTGTTGCTTAGATGGATGAACGAATTCACAGCCCACCTAGTGCTAAGTGGTTACTGGAGCCCATAGACATCTACGACGTAAAATGCGCCACCCACCTTGAGATATAAGGCCTAAGGTCTCAAGTATAGTTACAATGGCTGCCCCACCCTTCAAACTGACACGCATTACTGCTTCGCGGAAGAAATGGGGAGGTCCTACCACCAGTATTTTTTTATGGAATTATTCTTTATGCGTTCGCACATTGGTCATCCGAGTAATTTGAAAGTTGCTACAGTTTTTTTAGTTCAAGAATGGGTTTTCCACAGCGCCATCAACTTACTAGAGGCGCGCTTGTAACTTCAACGAAAGGCTGTATTTTAAATATGTATAATAGCAATAGTTACAGCGGAGCGTGAGTTCATTTACCTAGTACCAAATCCTTCAACAAAGACATTTATTTGGCGAACAGTAGTAAAAAATAGGACTACCAAAAGTAGCTACAAAGTAGCTACTACTACGACTACTGATATATAATCTTAAACTATTAATATATAATTAAGTAAGATCAACAAAAACGGCATCCTTGAGTAATCATTACTACTCTGTCAACTGGGAAGAGTTTTTAAATATCAAATCAACAAGCTCTTTTGTTTTAGCGTTGGTACTATCTGCGGGATATTGCACCGATTCGGTTGCAGTTTCCATTGATATTAGGGATTAAAGTATGAGATTGCCGATTTGTACTGAAAAATTGAAATTGGTTTTTTTTTTCATTTAACATTTTTATTTAATCAAAATATCTATTTATTTATTTATTTATTTATTTATTTATTTAATAAGTTGCACCAACAAAGTGATCATCAATACAAAACATTGACAAATTGACAAAAGTTCATGGCAGATGTCCCCTCAATTATAGGTGCAATCGACATTGCATTAACATCAAAAATAAAAATAAAATATACAGCTAAGATTTGGATACATTTCATTCATTGCTTAAGATTAATTTAATTGGGAGATGATCCGCGACAGATTTTTCCTGTAAGTAGTGAGACAATTTGAAAAAACATCTATTTCACTTAAAACCATTATCTACCATTATTATCTATACATTGCTGCCATCTAATAGGAAGGTCATTTATATCTTTGCGATAGAACTCTGGTGATCTAGATTCTACAAACTGTGTACTGAAAGCAGTTTGTACTGCCTCCTGATAAGTTTGGCTCAGATCGGCTTCCACCATCTCTGTCCATTTATTGTTATTCACATGTGTGGGCGATCTTCCACGTGGTTCGTTCTTCAAATCAAAATTTCAATCACGAAAGCTTTTAAACCAAAATCACACGGTTCGTTCATTAGCAGTCCCCTCTCCAAACGCAACATTGATATTGCGACCTCTTTGTGCAGCGTTGAATCCACATCGGAACTCGTATTCAAAAATCACTCGAATTTTCGAAATATCCCTCTTTCTTGTCTAAGCTGAATAAAAAAACAACTGAAAGTTGATAATCGAATGTTGCACATTTTTTAAAAGAAGAACCTCATAGGTACCGTTTGAAAAAAGTTTCATTCAAAAATCTTAAACCATGAAGGTTCTATGTTAATTCGAAGTACCTATCACAATAAAATGGCAATTTCATACTTTAACCCCTATTATTTAGCTATGGAACCTTAACAAGGTGCCAAGTAAATTTGGTCATTATGTCTTGGAATCTAGTGACCACTAAATTGCATATGGGCCTTGAATTCGTCTGCTCATATACAGTCAGTTTAAAAGGGGCATTTTAAATTTGACTGTGTTCCGACGCTTTTTCTTCTTTTTCTCCACCTTATCCCACTAGGTGGGGTCGGCACAGCTAATTTTTCTCTTCCATTCTCTTCTATCAGCCGTCATCTCAACACTCACTCCTCTCTCTCTCATATCGTCATTCACACACTCCACCCATGTCTTCTTCGGTCGACCTCTTCCCCCTCTACCTTGCACTACCATTTCCATACATCTCCTAGTCACATGCATGTGTTCCGACGATTTTTAGTAAACAAACACTCGCTAAATAGCGCACCTATTTTCCAGTCTCATCATAATTTGACACCTTCAGTTGATGAATAAAGGTGCAGAATGGACTACGTGTGTGACCAGAATGTCACAATACCATTATTCAACGAGTCTCTAGCACAAAATACTTGCAAAGTTACAATATTCATGAATGCTCCGATTTTTTAAACTTGTTAAATTTTATGTGGTTTCGAACTATTTCGGGTGAGGTAACAGATTTGTTTTTTACGTGAAAATGATAAGGTAATTATAGATTTTTCTTACCATCAAAGGTAAACGAGGATTTCGGTGCGTTTGATGAGAAGTGGTCGCCAGCGTCGTTGACGACGTCAAAGACAGAACCGTGCCGATGTTTTTCTTGAAGCTTTAAGCTTCGCTTGCTTTCTTGAGCCTTGTTTGAAATAAGACATATTCTAACGCTAAGAAAGACTCGTTCCAGTATTTTAAAATTTAAAACAGTCACTACAATGATAGTAACACATATGTGTGTCTTACCATATAGATTTTGTCATCATCTCCAAGAAAACAGAAAAAAAACATAGCGGAAGAAAACACCAGTATTTGTTAGGGAAAAAAAGCTCACACATCACTAAGCAATTGAACTTTTCACTTTATGTCTCCAAGTGTCTACCGTCTACTTGGATTCCGTAAAGCTGACCACGATAACTCTGTAAAGCCGACCACGATACGAGCTGTAAGCCAGTCAAACGCATCAGATGCGTATAGCAAAGGAAATAAACATTGTATTTGAATATATTTTTTTATTGCTTAGATGGGTGGGCGAGCTCACAGCCCACCAGGTGTTAAGTGGTTACTGGAGCCCATAGACATCTACGACGTAAATGCGCCACCCACCTTGAGATATAAGTTCTAAGGTCTCAGTACGCAAACAACCGCAGAATTTAGTGACTGCGAAAGTTTTGCTCTGAGGTCTGTACCCCATAGGGCGGGCGGCGACAGGCGGTACATAGTAAACAATCGGCAGTCCCGCCTCACGGATCGACCGCGCCGCGCGTCTCCACACACAATACCAAAGTAATTGTATTTATTTTATCAGTAAAATACGCGCGCGAAAACTTGTCTTTAACTACAAATCTCATAATAGACGCGACCAATTCACTTCTATATCCAAAGTCTTATGTATCACAAGGTAGTTTATTGGTAAATACGTTAATTTGTGATGTGAAAACTGTTTTACCTGACCGCGTTGCCGGGAGCACTACTGAAATACACTGAAATAACAAATGTGAGCCTGTTTTGTTTTTCGTGTCCAATTGAAATTTTTTTGTTATGATTTTTATTCGAACGAGCAATGCGTCTTTATAGAACTTTGTCGTGTCGTGTTAGAGATTTGTCTACTGATTTAAAAACGTTGGTTACAAACAAATTTATTTTAAGAGTTTTTGTCGGTAAATGTTTTTTTTTAGTTCATACTTAATTAAATTAAACACTTTAAATTATTAGTTAATTTCTCTTTGTAAATTATTAAAATACTTGTGCAATTTCAATTTTACACGAATATAACATTTTTACTTTACTGTATTTGAAACAGAATGCGAAGAAAAACGTAGTTTAATTCAACTTTAGTTTGTATTTTTTATCATGTTCACAACAAATTTGTTTATCTTTACTTGTTTCTTTGTGTACTATGCGGGAGAGAGAGAGAGAGATAGAGAGAGTACTCGTTATTGTACACAAAATGCAAAATATTCAATACAAAGAACAAGTCCAATGGGTGGTCTTATCGATAAGAGTAGACAACCATCAGGTGGACAAGAATAAATTTAAGAAACAAATTACGCTTTTTTTTTTCCTACCTATGCTGATAGCCTTGAGAGGCTATTTCAGTTTCACCCTAACGTGTGTAGGTGAGCTCACGGGGCTCAAACTGACCTTAGCAAGAGCAGTGCTTCGCAGAATCTACCACCGGATCGGAAACGCGACCCACTGAGAAGATCCGGCGAGAAACTCAGTGGGCTGTGTCTATGGGTTAATTCGCTTGCGATGAAGGGCTCGACGAGGACGGTGACCGGTGCTTGTGGTGCCTAAAAGCACCGTTAATGAATCGGGAAAAAAATTACGCGCTGTGTAGGTACCTATCGATTGTAGTTGAAACTCTCTAGAGTTGTGATGGACATTTGAAACAAGTTAACTCTCAGTCTACGTCGTCTACCCACCTTTGGAATCGTCATCCTTTTAATGTTTTCTTAGACGACATAAAGGACATTGCAGGCTCTACGTGGAAGAGGAAATGCCACGACCGGGACTTATAGCAAAGACTATATGCAAAACAATCTTTGCCGATGTCAAATGTTTAGAAAAATTACATAAATAGTATGTACCTAAATATGAATTGAGGTTGTTAATATATTTTTTATTGCCTAAGCAATATGGTGTAAAGTGGTTACTGGAACCCATAGACATCCACAACGTAAATGCGCCACCCACCTTGAGATATAAGTTCTAAGGTCTCAAGTATAGTTACAACGGCTGCCCCACCCTTCAAACCGAAACGCATTACTGCTTCACGGCAGAAATAGGCACGGTGGTGGTACCCACCCGCGTCGACTCACAAGAGGTCCACCATTAATTACGCAAAATATAATTTTAAAATAAAAACTAAAAATAAAAACTTCTTTATCTTTATCTAACATTCCATTATAAAATATTGTACAATGACTATCAAACGTTTTAAATCAGTCCTTCGCTGCTTCGTGGCATCATCAATCGATTGATCGAGCAAGAATATCACGCTGGTGTATTCCTAGTTCATTCAAATTTGTAAAATTAATGATTGTAGCTAGTTCCCCTATGTTCGATTTTCATATTAATTTGTCAGGTTCATGTGAAGCTAGTAGCATTTTGAATACACCAGAAAACTCTACATTGAAAATTACAAGAGGAGTCTAGGTAGATTACATAAAAAATATATTATAACACAGTACAACATACCAATGAGATATAGCCTCAAAATCATCTCCAGACCATGTTAAATTAGTAATTAAAATAAAAGTGTCGCATAAAAATCTATTTATTATATAAAAATGAATGGCTGTTCGTTAGTCTCGATAAAACTCGCGAACGGCTCGACCGATTTGGCGAATTTTGATCTTGAATTATTCGTGGAAGTCCAGAAAATCCTCGGAATTAAAAAAAATATTGTTATTCCTTCGATGTGTCCCCCGTCGGACGGATTCCTTTTGTTTGTTTTAAGTTTATTTTATATAAAAGTTTGGGTATTTTATTTATCAATTGAGGCACTACGAAGTCTGCCGGGTCAGCTAGTAATAAAAAAATTAGCGGAGAAGAATCAAACTCAGTAATTTGACGCGAAACCAAGATTCTTTTTTTTATGGCTTAGATGGGTGGACGAGCTCACAGCCCACCTGGTGTTAAGTGGTTACTGGAGCCCATAGACATCTACAACGTAAATGCGCCACCCACCTTGAGATATAAGTTCTAAGATCTTAGTATAGTTACAACGGCTGCCCTACCCTTCAGACCGAAACGCATTACTGCTTCACGGCAGAAATAGGCAGGGCGGTGGTACCCACCCGTGCGGACTCCCAAGAGGTCCTACCACCAGTGTAAAACTACTAATACTACACTAACACTATTCCTTGACTACGCGAGCGAAGCGGCTGGTAACAGTATTATAAAAATACAAAACAAGATAAAGCACTGTTTATCAAACTACGGTGAGTGCTTAACGCGTGAAAAGTTGCAATTTCGAGGCTGGCAACATATGACTGTGTTGATTTCTTCCTGATTGTCAAGGACTAGTACACAGGTATTTTACTAGTGTGGTAAATGTTTTCCCCGGGACCCATTCCGTGCCCCAACAAGGGTGACGACGACGATTTCTTATTATGTCATCCTCACCAGTCATTTGTTACAACCGGCACGCTGCTTGTGTAGTTGTTAGGACCAAATGTTTTTCTAGTAACGCCGATAACGCTACAAAATTCCAACTCAATCGGATAAGCGGTGTCGAAGTTTATCAGCAGATATATTATGTGCCTATCGATTTCTAATCGATTTTAAGGAAGAAAAGGATTTTCTAATTCGGTATGTTTTATGTTGTTCCAAGGGACGCTACCTAAGTCGAAATAAGAAACAATTACCATCTACATTTAAGATAGGGAAAGAAATCTTATCTGAAGAAATTTATTTAAATATTGCAGAAAGTACTCTCGGTCCATCTGGTGCTGAGCTGTTACTGGAGTAACACATGAAGGTTCCAGTAACCACTTGGTACCATTGAAGTCCCTAGAAGCAAGTGAATATATCACAACCTTAATCCAACCTAAGACGTGAAGTCAAAGTCTCTCTACTGTACAACGGCCGTCCAATCTTTCAAACCAAAACGCAATACTGCTTCGCAGCAGAAATAAACAGAATAGTTGTACCTACCCGCCCGGGTACTACGCCCTGTCACTGCTAATATAACTGGTTCATATTTCGCGAACCCTCAACGTAAAGTGGAGGCAACGAAGTGCTCTCGGCGTTTCCTTGAGAAGGTTGACCCAACACGTCAATCGATTTTTAATTGTGTTCCATTGCGTGCACTAAAAAAAATTATAATTTGTTTTTTTTATTTTTTTTATTCTTTTTTTTTATGTTGAGTAAAATGTAAGGAGAGTAAAAGAGGGGCTTTTACTCTCCTATTTCCACAAATCTGTGAATCCTGCGCGTCATCATACTTTTGTTATAATTTGTTTAATGATTACCATACCTTCGATTTTGAGACCGATCCCAATATACCTACTGATAAAATAATGCACGACAATTGAGTCCACTGCCTTGCTCGTGTACATTACGTAATTCATAGATAATTTTAAATTAAATGATAAATCGTTTGAAAAACATTGTTAATACGCATTGATAAACATTATTTTAAACTTCAAGATCGGAATTATTTTATCGGTTCGCTCTTATCATTGTTTTGAGTCAAACGTGTCTTGACCTGGGAATGAACTAAATAATATTAATCAGGACACTCTAGACTATTTTTACTGGTGGTAGGGCCTCTTGTTTTTACTGGTGGTAGGACCTCTTGTGAGTCCGCACTTGTAGGTACCACCACCCTGCCTATTTCTGCCGTGAAGCAGTAATGCGTTTCGGTTTGAAGGGCAGGGCAGCCGTTGTAACTATACTTGATACCTTAGAACTTATACCTCAAGGTGAGTGGCTTATTTACGTTGTAGATGTCTATGGGCTCCAGTAACCACTTAACACCTGGAGGGCTGTGAGCTCGTCCACCCATCAAAGCAATAAAAAAAGAACATACCCAACTAAATATTAAAATATAAAGAGACTAGTTCAAATTAAATAAAAATTGTTACATTATTCTCTTTGATCTTTCTTCTTCAACCTGTGTGCACTCAATGCTGAGTGTAGGTCCCTTCATCCATTCTTTTCGGTCTCATGTCTTTCGCGTCCAGTTCTTACCAATTATTTTGTCCAGTTCATTGATCCACGTCATTGGTTGTCTCTTTTCTCACACTGCTTTAAGTTTTTGCCGTTAACGCTTTTGGACGATACATTTTTGGAACCACTGAGTGAGATCTGTCGCTAAAAAAGGCAGCATAATAGTACATACCTATCTGTGCGAGTTCATTTACATGTGATACCTATCAATTTAACGAGATCCAAGCATGTACGCTATCGATACAGTTAGTTAGTATTCCAACAAGAATATACTTACTCAGAAGTAATCGCCAAACTCTTCGTAACTTACGCTGCACTGAAATCGTGTTCATACCAATTGATTCGTCTAACAAAAGCATATTTTCTCAAAGTACATTTAGTTCAGTTTTAAATCTCTCATCACCCTACGAATAGTTGCCGACGTTTGTGAGTAGGAATGTATTGTTACGCCAATACAAATCAACGGACTCTGATGTAACTTTACAATATAATAGCTTATACGCTGAAATAGCAGATAATAAAAATAGTTCATAAAACAGTACAATGAATGTATGAGAAGAGATGGGACGTGAGTAGAATCAAGATTTTTTTCTTCTTCGTAAAATTAGTGACGCTCAAAGTAGAGCTTTATCCAAAGAAATAAAATAAGTGGTGTTCATTTCAAATCTTCGAACAATAAGTATTGTTTCCGACAAAGAATCGACTACTGTCAACCTTTGCAATGCAAAAGAACAAAATAAAAACATTCTCAACAAAGCAAACAATCCTGTTTTCTAAGTAGCCAAGATTACCCATTCGTTTGAATGTCCCTAAGGT